CTACTACTACTACTACTCCTGCGGTTACTATATACTACCACCACCACCACCACCAGCACCACCCCGCGAGTGCCAGACTGCCAGACTGCCACTGCCACTACCACCGCTACTGCTACTACGACGACAATGATGTGCTCCCACTCTCAGCGACGCCCTTTTCCTCCTCCTCTTTCGTCTCCACCTCCTGCTGCTCCTGCTTCTCCGGTGCTGGTGCTGCTGCTGGCGATAGGGCTGCTGCTGCTGCTGCTGCTGCTGCGGCAGCATACTTCAGTACCCGAATTCACGAGGCTCTGTTATCTGAGCCGGGGGACTGAGCTGACAAATCCGCATCGAGTGCGAGGTGCTGAAGTCTTTCATGAGGTTCTCCTCCTTGCAAGGATGGGCAAAGCAGGTAGTTGCAGTCTATGACACGCACAAGGAAGAGCGCCAAAAGGTTGAAAGTCACAGTCCTTCACCAGCTTGACACCACTTTGTGTCAGGCTTTTCTGCAGGCACTGCACCTGCGGCAGCAGAACCTACTTACGTTACGCCTGCTGGACGCTACTTGAAGTCCTCTGCGTCGGCTGCTGCCTCACAAAGCCAAGGCTTAGCACCGGCATGCAGCCCAAGCACAGATCCAAGACCTCATCCCCGCAGGAATCGTCGTCGAGCTGGTTCTTTGCCAGCTCCGCAACAGCGGCTTTCGTCAGGGCCTGCATGGCACCTGCACACGCATCTTTCAGCTTCGACAAATGTTGAAAGAAGTGGTAACAAGCGGATGAACATGCCTGGAATCGCTGCGCCGTTTTGCAACACCATCGCATCACAATCTGGCCATGCTTTTACAGCAACTTGCAACAACGGTGCTTCGATATGCTCGGGACATTCAAAGATGTCTCTCCCCTGACAACAGTTCCAGGAACAAGCGAGTCAGCAACGCCCGTGCCAGAACAATGGGGTGACCTTGGACAGTGCTAAGGATTCACGAGAAGGCTTGCTCTAGCTCCACCCGTGCTGGAATAGAAAGCTATGTGTCATGCAGAATGTCCCTCAAGCGATCGGGATGAAAGGCTGTTTCTGGGTCCTCTTCTTTTCGAGACATCCAGTGGACTGGTACGAGCAGGCATGACAGCAGGCGGTCCATCTTGAGGGTCCAGTCGAATCTTCTATAGCGCCCGTCTTCCGCAATTCGCTTCCACACCTGCATCGGGGCGCTTGCGCGTGTCATGCGGAGGTTTGTGTGCCGGCGCCTCACGAACTGCTGGTAGTCCGAGCCTGGCCATACAGGTCTCGAACAGAACGTCGAGAATATGCGGCAACCATGAAGAGCGCACGGCTGGGCCACGGAGTGGGAGAGCACATGCACAATAGGACCACTTGTGGGCCACCTGCCCAAGACTCAAGCTCGGAGGCCATGCTGCGATCTTGACGCAGACGGTCACCGGGCGCCCTGCGCCGGCTTTGTCTCACTACCCTTGAAGAGCTCCTCGGGGACAGAAAGGACTCGCCCACACTTTGTGTGACTCTGTATTCTGTTGCCCGCCTCTGCTGGTAGACTGCTGAAGAGCATGTGGTCATCGCAGCCGAAGAGTCCAATCCCTCGACTAGGCACGCGACACACTCAGCTTTATTATTTATTATACACAACACACAGACCCCCCCTCTTGCACTCGCATGCGCCGCGCGCCTTCCACGAACAGATTTGAGAGAAGATCAGCCTCGCTTCTGAAAAGGAGAGGGCAACCTCTTTACCCTTGAGCGATGTAGGCTACGAGCCTGCTGCCGGCCAACGACACTGAAGCAGAAAATCGACGGACCTGTCAACACTTCTCTGATAGTTGCAGCAAATTGGACGAGGCGGCAACATGCCAGCAGCGCCAAACAGCATGGCGATGCCCGGAGGCAGCAGGGCCTAAGCGGCTCCGAATCAAGAGGAAGCTGAACGGTCAAGCTGATGCAGGCCCTGGCCGCCAAGAAGAGGGGAATCAACATGTGAAGATTCAAGCCCTCATCTGCTACTTGACCCTCTAGGCCTGTGAGGTCCCATCCGCCTGCCTATGCAACACATTCCAATCAGACTTAGGTTGCTTGGAGGCTTCGACCTGGCTGTGTGAAAAGGATTCATGATGCTCGAGCCTGCAGAATCGAGAATTGAGGCAGAAGCTGCACAGCAGCACGACAAGCCATTGCAACTGCGGGACACCCGCCCACAAATGATACTTTTCTGCAGGGCAAATTCTTGCAAGCGATGATCGGCATTATAGTAACAAAACCAGATATCTGACGGGTCAGAGGTCCAGTCTGTGAGCCCTCAGCACTCTGCGACATGATTCATTGGGCTTTGGAGCACGGACTGTGCCTCCGACCAGGAGAGCTTTGACTAACCCACATCGCCAGCTGCTAGTGAGAGCACAACAGACTTTACCGATTCACTGACTCAAAGCAGAAGTAACAATTGCATCACACTTGCAGCTTCAAGACATGGTCAAAGAGATGTAAACAATTTAACTGCTCTGCAGGATGATCTGGCATTTCTCCCTTCGAGAAACTACCACCGAGGAGGAAAGCTGATGCAATGAGATGGTGTTAGCCTGTAGCGTCGTGTCATGTTGCAGTAGCTTCAATCTCGCCGTCCGATCTTGGCTTTTGGTTAGAGCGTAGGTACACGAAAGACATTCATCGGTCCGTCTTTAACATGCGCGGAGCCGTGTAGAGAGCTCACGGCACGTTCGCTCTCAATTTGCTCGCTGCACGACATTGCCCATACCGAAGCCAACCTGCAGCACAGAGCACATCTTCTCGTCTTACCTATGCTTTGTCTGGATCGAAGCACTGAATCGCTCTGAGAATATGCTCACAAAACCCCGAGAAACAACTGCTATGCCAAACCTGGGAAGCGGTAGCCCTTCTGTGAGCAGAGCGGTTGTGCTCTTGGCCGGGTTTACCTTCTCAACAATGACAGGACACACTGAGACGCGTGCAGATGCACTCCTCTGCGGAATGGTGCCGGCGTTCATGATAACTCCTGGTCGCATCGTGGCCTTCAGGGACATCCAACCCAACCTCCCCGACCAAGTCTTTCGGATTTGAGCGAGAGCTCAACAAGTCCCTCCTCCGCCACCCACTGCGCCTGCAGAGGGATCTGCCCGGTGGTGGTCATAGGCCCCGCAACGTAGCTCGGGCCTTCGAGAACTTTCGAGACTCACCACTCGCCAAATCCTTTTGTGGCCAAGCTCCTACAAGTAGAATATACCTCTAAAGTTTGTGGGATGATTACGCAGATTCCAGAGATTTGCCAATCACTAGCTGCAATGCTGGGGCCAGGACGTGCTGCAACTACGCGTGGCGCATTGACAAAGTTCGGCGCCATCTGCGAGACTCTGCTCTACCCCGCCATGAACTCACAACCATCACGAAATCAGGACCGTGAAGCCTGCGGCATGGCCGGTCGAGCTACAGGCTGACCGGGCGCGGCCTGAGGCATGTAAGCTGAGCTCTGGCCAACATGATAGAAATGCCGAGGAAAGCGCAGGAGGAGCAGCGACAAAGCTCGGACGGTTCACCTTCTCAGACTTTGAAATCAGTGGAGCTCAACCTTAAAAGAGCCCCGGAGCCTGCGGTGCGGCGACGAAGCTCGGGTGTTGTATGACCTGGCTTACAGTCACTTCTGTAGTAAGTATGCAGAACAGTACAAGAACCCGAGTGCATCACCGTCCCAACCTTGGCCGCGCCGGGCGGCATCATTACCTCACAAGGAAAGGGGTTAGTTTTAGACGTTTTGGGTTTATTTTACCTCCAGTGCGGTAGAGAAGGGAAGTACAAGAACTTGCCATCACCACTGTGTCACTGCCAAAAGCAATCTCAGTGTAAAATTGGATGCCCGCGTGTGCATTGTGGTTGACATTACACGGGTGTCTTGGGTTGTCTTGGGCCGACAGGCAACAGAATGCAGTAGACTGGGAAGCGCACCACACCCTGACCGGGCATGTAGGGAAAGCGCTGGAGGGGCATGTTGGAGATGTACGTCGGAGCGACAACAGACCTGCGAGCTAAGGCGAGCCTTCTCCGAGCGCGAATGACGGCGTTACGAGTGCAGCGGACCTTGCCATCCCCTGGCCTGGCACCTGAGAGGACAGGGAGATCTGATTCGGGCTGCACGCTCATGCCTTGAGCTGGGGCAGGCACAAGAATTCTTGCCTCGCATGTTGCGGTGTGAGCTTCTTATGATTCTTAGCATCACTAGAAAGAAAAGCAAAAGAACGGCCATGTTTGTCTGAGAAGGAGACCTGAGGCTCAGCTGGGACCTGCTCAGCTTCACATGGGGGAGAAGGGGTCAAGAACGCGCAGAAAAGTGGCTGAGCCTGCTTGACCGGCTCCTTGGCTCGAGAGGCCATGATGCGTGAAACCGTCACGCGACACACGCTTGGGCTCTGGCAGGCTCCTCAGGCTCCTCGTGATGGTTTATCTATATCTTGCTTGCTTGCTCTCTCTCTCTCTCTCTCTCTCTCTCTCTCTCTCTCTCTCTTTCTTTCACCAGGGCTAGGGGTAAGGGAGAGCAAGCCCCCCTCACCCGCGCGCGTTAAGCGCCCCCGACATGTGGGGAGCGAAAGGTGAAATCCTCATGCACCATAAAGGCAGAGGTGGGCTGTCAAAGTAGGTTGCGCAATACAGTACATTCAGAAAAGACACCCAAGCAGCCTCATCTGCACCGTCAGGTTAGCATGGAGCTGTCTACCGGCCAAAGAACTGCTGTATCTCCCTCAAAGTCGGGCGGTAGGGGGAATCCCCTTGGGTCATAGGCTCAGAGCAAGTAAAAACAACATGACAGTAGCAAGGTGGACTCAAAGGGAGAGGGGTTGTTCCCCTGTTAGGCCAACTTGTTGCCCTCGCAAAAGCAACATGCCAGACTGAAACAGAGTTAAAGCATAGGATATGCAGTGCATGACGGAAGTACAAAATGCGGGCACACCTATGAAAGTAGTCGTGTTCAAGAGCTCACCTCTGCATTCTGCTCGTTCCCTTCCCAAAAGAAAGGAAAACTAAAAGACAACAAGCAACCCCCGAACCTCCTGAAGACAATGAACCTGAACAGAATGCCCCTGGGTTGTTCCCTGGTAAGGTGAGTACTCGAGCAAAGCGAGGTGTGAACTAGGCGCACTCACTGGGTTTTGAGCCCCGCTCAGTTGGGCTTGCTGGCCGTCTTTGGCAGAAGGTGCTCGGCACAGAGCTTGACGAGGTAGTTCTCCCCCGAAGAGAATGCTTCAGTCATTCTCATTCTCATTCTCGTCAGAGGAATACGCAGTGTCCATGGCCGCATGGAGCCGTCTTCTCCGGTGTGAAGTAGTGCTAAGTGCTGTGGGCGCCTCTTCTCGCCGTTGTTGCTCCGGAAAAAAGTCCCGGCTTTGAAGCAGGACCGTGCTGGCTTCAGATCCTGCCAGTGAGGGGGGATGTTCCCCTTCAGCCAAAGGCGTGCTGTCCCCCGCGGTCAGAGCGACAGGCGTGCCCCAAAGCGCGGTCGTCCATTGGAAAAGAAGGCTATGTGCTTCTTGGATCACAAGTGCGCTTTGATGCTCCACAAATGGCATCACTTGCTCGAGCAGCTGCTGGGCTCTGAGGATTTGATAGGGGGTAGCATCCCCTGGTCGGTCTTCCTTGGCACCGTGATGTCCTCCTTCATGTGGGCGTGCAACGCGGGCAGGTAGAACAGCTGGAGCTTGCGCTGGTAGTGCTGGGCTTGCAGGCGGTTGTGGCATGGTCGGCAGAGGTTGAGCACGTTGGCCTTCTAGAGCAGTCTCTGCAAAGCGGGGTACTTGAGTGCTCCCCGACGGCACTTCCCCAGTCCGGCGCTTTTTGGGGGAAGGGCTTCCTGAGGTGTCCCCCGGTCTTGTGGCAGCTCCGAATCGCTTCTGTATCCAGGCGAGCAGCGCGTCCATGTGTAGGCTGGCACGGCTAACTGCATGCAGCGTGGAGGCAAGGGCCTCCGTGGTGCTAGCCAGTCCTCCCTCTTCAGCAGCTAAGTGGCTGAAAGTGAGGCATTGAAGTGCCGTGCTAAGGCTGGCATCACCTTCTTGTGCGCCAGGGGCTTGAGGAGAACGTCCCCAACTGCGGAAAAGTCGCTGTCCTTCCACGAGCAAAGCCTCAAGGCGCCCCAATTCCTTTTTGAGGTGACGGGCAGGTAGTTCTCTGTGGTGCATGACGAGGTTGCTCAGGGTGGCTTCAGCTTCCACCATGGGGTTGTTCATGATGAAGTAGATCTCGGTCGGGGTCGCGAGCGTCGCGTTTGCGGGGATTCCCCCGGCATTGTCGAGGCCTCCGTGTCCTTCCTCCCCGGCACGACTTTCACTGACTGTTTGGAGTTTGTCGAGGTAGTAGCACGCCTGGTACGCCAGCTCGGTAACATCCTCCCTCGGCTGTAGGTGCGACTGTTGAAGAAGGTCGTGGAGCAGTGCTCGGAGCAGTCGCAGAACTTTGAGGACGGAGGTGCCCCCCTGGGAAACTTCTTGTTGGAGCTGTAAGACCTGAGCTGACAGTGCCGGCGATGTCCACGTCGTAGTGCCTCCACTGTCTGTTGCCGTAGGTGAGGTGGCTTGGCGTCCCTGTTGCATGAAAGAGGTCACATCGTCCCCCTGCTTGCTTTCTAGTTGTGGAAGCATGGTTCCAGCGATCTGCTTCAGCACGGCGTCGTCAGTGAGCGGTTGTGTTGGCTCTGGTGGTGTGTGGTTCTCGCTCGGCCAGCTTGTCTCCGATTCGGAGATGTCTCCCCTGCCTGGACCAGGTTGTTGCTGCCTCCAGCCATCTGCATCAGGTGTCGTGCCCTGGTTCGGCTGGGGGCCATCATGTAAGTCTGTCACGGACCTCTGTGTTTGTGTCCCTCCGGGGACTGCTTCCGGTAGGGTCTCGAGCGGGCCGGACGTATCCGGGGCCGTGGGGGACCTTGGTTTCGGCTTTGGCTTCGCCTTGCTGGATGCTTTTGTCGCGGCTTTTGCGGCCGAGCTTGAGCCACGGTGTCCACGCTGAGTGGGGTCATGTCTTTCCGGAGGCGTGGGCGGCTGTATTGGTTCAGGTTCCGGTATGGTAGAGTAGCCCCCCATGGTCTCGATGTCGTTGTCGAAGCGCGGTCTTCGTCTCCATTCCTGGCCTTCCTCATTCCATTGCAACCAGAAGGACATGCCCTCCGAGAGGGGGATTGCCCCTGTGGCATTGGAACTTGAGCTGCTGGAGGTCTGTGTGGCTGCGGCGTCGACAAGAAAAAGCCACAGCTGAGGGGTTCGTACTGCTCCGAGCTCAACCCTCGTAGTGGCCACCCAGGGCCCCACTGGCAGCAGTGTGAAGCATAGTCCATGCGGTAGGTATCTTGCTCCTGGGGCTGCCCCCGACTGAGTGTTGTAGATAACGAGCGTAGGTTCTTGTCCTCTTCGTCTGGGGTGACGTGCGATCTCCCACGAGCGGAGGTCGGTGACAGTGCCCCGCCAAGCCCCGGTGGCTGCGCCATGGAGTGTGAGTATGCTGCGTCTCCGCAGAGGAAAGACAGGTGGAAGTGTCGTCGGGGGGGCCCCCGCCAGCCACGAGAGGTCTTGCGTGTTGGCGCCCGTTCGGACGGTGCTTCGCATTGGTTCTGTATTGCGAGTAGCTGACCATTGAGGTGCTCTGTTCTGGGCAACAGCGATGGCAGAGTGAGCTTCCAGGTCAGATAGTCCCCCTGGGTGCTCGAGGCCAGCAACTTCTTCGGTTGGTTCAGAGCCATCTGGCCGCGGTGGCGGTTGGTAAAAGAGGAGGTCACCAGGGTCAACATCTGCTATGACCGGTTCTTGCAGGGGCGGCCTCGGCAACTTGACCACCGGGTACTTGTCAACGCCATCGCCTCGCAACTGAATGTAGGTGCTGTTCGTCAGCTTCCTTGGGACGAACTGGGTGCGGGTAGGCTTAGGTGGCTGCTCACGGTGGCCTCTGGGCAGGGAGAAACGGACGCTCTTGCGCTGCGGCTGGCTGTGGTTAGGCTGCGAGGTGTGGGGTCGACCCCCCTGTTTCGGAGAGGACCTGCCATCTCCCCGACGTGTTCTTTGTGGCGGGCCGTCGGGCTGGATTGGCTGACTGCTTTGGCTGTTGTCTGCGGCGGGCAAGTGAGGCTGTGTGCTTGCAAGTGGAGGTTGTGGTGGCAGCTGTGGTGGCGGTTGCTGTTGCGGTGGCTGTTGGTTTGCACTCTGCGATCTGCCCACTGGTACGGTCATGTCGTCTTGCCGTGGGGGGGCTTGGTCAGGACGTTGATGCGGTGGTAGTAGGTATGGGTTGCTCAAGCGGCGGGCTGTGTGATCGGACCGTGCTTGTGCTTCAGCTTTTGTAGAGTGCGTGTTGACTGGCGTCAGGGGGGCAGTTTCCCCTGTGGCGCTGCTGGTAGTGGTGCCTTGCGTTTGCTGTGTCGGCTGCTGCGGGATGATATTGCCAGCGCTGTCGTAGACGTAATGGTGGGAGTTGAGGAGGCTGCTGAGTGCGGCTCTTTGGGCAGCGGAAATAGCTGCACGTGGCTGTTTTGCTGGCGGGATCTCCCCCCGCTTGAGCCATTCCAGGGCTTTGCGCCAAGTCAGCCAGGCCGGCTTGCGCGGCCAGCCGCGTTCCTCCCATAATTTTTTGACGTCTGATTTGCGGGCCTTGTTCTTGACTCGCTGTGATCCATGACCTGCCGGCTTGCGCTGGGGTTTAGTCCCCCGTTCTGCGCTGGAAGTAGGCTCCTGTTCGGTATCAGCTTGCTCGTCGTCGGTGTCACTGACCCATTCATCCAGCGAATCCCCATCATCTGCCTGGGCTGCTGATGTTTGTGCTGGGGTGTCCCCCGAATCCAAGGGGGTAAAGTCACATGTTGGCGTTGTGTCCGGAACGTGGGGGCCCGCCACCGGCTCGGCTTCAGCTGCTGGTTGTGTCCAGGACGTAGTGGCTGGGCAGGTTGGAGAAACGTCGTCGTTGTCGATGGAAGGGGCATCGTGATGACTGGGAGATTGTAGTGCCATATCGTTTTCAGCCGGTGCTGCTGTGTCTGCGTCGCTGTCCCCCGGGATCATGGTTGGCCGGCCGAGTCCGAAGGGATTGTTTCTCCATTGCGAGGGTGGTAGTAGTGGTCCTTGGCTGGCGTACCTTCTTGCAAGCTCTCCCCAAGGATCCATGGTTGGGGGTGCTCCGTTGCCAGTGCCAGACATAGCTTCGAGGCGGGGATGCTCTTGCCCCGGTTGAGGTGGAAGTTCGGCATGGTCTTCAGGTAGGTGATGCACTGGGGCTTGTGGTGGCATGGGGCCATCCCCGGCTCCCATTGGCAGCTGGTCTGGCGGCACAGTGGGCTGCCCTGGGAAGCCTGAGGCTTGTAATTCATCGTCATGGATCACCCCATTGTCGTGCCAAGGGTCGGATGCAGCATCATAGGTTCGGGCATAGCCAATGCGGTATGTGGGATGGCCGGGAGCAGAAAGCGTGGTTGGACCCCGAGGTCCTAGCTGTTCCCCTGCGTGAGCTTGCTGTCGTCGTTGTCGTGGGTCTTGTACTGCAGGTACTTCACGGGCATGGTGTAGAGGAGCAGGTTCTCGAGGTCGGTCAACATGTGTCTGGGCTCGAGCGGGGTCCGCGGGAGGCTGAAGGTCTCGTTGTATTGGTAGTGCATGATCGGGCCGTCCAGGTAGTTCGGCTTGAGGCTGCGGGCCCGACCCCGTCCTGGTAGGGCAAAGGCTGGGCCTGGGCCTGGGGATTGCGCTGGGCAGCAGGACAGCAACACATAGGAAAGGCAGGTCTTACATGGGCTTACACAAACAACGGAACGGAGTAAAGGAATGGCTTTACAACCGAAGTGGGGTGCTTCCTGCAGGCATGGGCAAGCAAATGGCGACCCATGTAGCACAAAGGAGACTGGGATGTAGATGGACTCTTTCGGGTGCACTATGGGAGGGGCAAAGGCAAAAGGGAACTAAACCACAACAACCCTAGGGGGGAAAGGTACTGAGCGGGCACGGCGTGTAAGGAGCCACTGTGTAGGTTGCACAGGGGCTTCGTCAGGCAAGGTCAGCTATGTTCGAGGGGGCGTAGGCGCTGGGAACGTGCAGCTCGCCGAGCAGCATTAGGGGCTAAGTTGGGCGCCCCTGGCAAGGTCAACTGAGACCCACTGGCCCAGGGAGGGTCAAACAGGTCGACGAAAACCTGTTGCAACTTATTCCAAGCATTACGGTCAGATGCTGCAATCCACCACTGCGCGCCTGCGACTGTAATGATATGCCTCTCAGGGTCTCTGTCTGGATTATGATGCCCTTTATGTCGGACGCCTCGGGGGTATGGCCCCGGAGTTTTGGACTGCTCATCTCTCCACCAGGCCATGTCGCGCCACCGGAGGATATGAAACGTCGGTTGGAAGGGCGCTCTTGCGATGTGTCCCCACAGCCCCCATTGCATCTGTAGGGCATGGGTTGACCATCGGAGTATTTTGTGCTGGTGGAGAAGGGCTCTCGCCCTGCGCATTGTACGCACATGCCAGGCATGCCAGGCTTCCGTGGCGGGGCGTTTCCCCGTGGTCATTGTCCTGACCTGCAAGAGTTGCGTGCTATTAGCGGCCTGAACCAACGCCTGATTAATGGGCCACGCGGGGCATCCATAGAGTGCAGCACTGCGAACCAAACTTTGATGCAGCAATAGGCGCTCGCGCAAAGGCGCGCGGGAGCAAAGGACTTTTTTATGTAAGTGGAAAGCTCTCCTAGCGCGGGCCTGCATCTCAGCGACAATCGGGGAGGTGTCCCCGGACATGGAAACGGGAGCGCCCAGTATGATCATCACATCCTCCGGTCCGTCCGGCTTAACGGAGTGGCCTCCGATCTGGAACCTAACTGGGTCGTCTTGGCAGTTAGATATGACTTGGGTCTTTTTGGCATTAATTTTAAGGCCAATCTCAAGCAGGCGGCGCTCGAGTTCAGTGAGAATTCGTTGGACGTATGCGTGCGATTCACCCCACAAGTACGTATCATCCATGAAGGAAGCCCCCGAGTGCGGAGGCGGGCCTAGGGCATGGTGCCTGCCTACATGAGGGGGCGCCCCCTGGTTAACGGCATTGAGAGTGGCGTCAAGGACTTCCCCGATCTCAGCGGCAAAGAGAACTGGGCTAACCCTAACCTGCATGTTAGGTAATGGCTCCGCTCCTCCGGCAAATTGATGAAGGGACCTCAGCTGACTTCGAAGGCTAAGGCAGTGATGGCCGATGAAATGACAAGCTCCGGGCCATGTGGAACATCGGCGCGCTTTCTAATTTCGCCGATCTTGTAGTCCTACCAGCGAAGTTCTTTCCGTTTCGGCTGAATGCAGCAACTTCTGCGAAGAAACCTTCCTGAAAATCTGAAATGGCACAGAGAATGTTGAGTCTTGCAAATCCGTGTTCCCCTGCAGTCTAACGAAATGGAGAAGCATGATTGTGCATGATGCACTTGCCTTCAGAACCTCGCCGTCTGCGAAGACATCCACCTGGCATGCATGCATGTGTCGCGAATGCTGCCAACGGGACGGCCACGAAGCACATGTGACAAAAGAGACAGCAGCACCAGAAGGTCTTTCTCTGGATCACCCCTGGAAGCAGAATGAGACCAGGCCCAGACTCAAAAAGAACGCACTTCGATCTGCCTGCCGCTCGCTACGGTGACGTATTTGCCATCTGGGGTGAAGTGCAGGTAGCCAGTACCGCCTTAGAAGAGATTATGCCACCCACACGAAGTCGCATCCGAGACCCTGAGAGCCTTGCCTTTCACACCGTCTGGCCCTTGTCGCGGCTTGTACACATCTTCCGGGGAGTAGCTGACAATGTCCGACCTGGGAAACACCGCAAGTAAGAAGGCACAGCACGGCAGCGCAGCAGAAGGTCAACTTGTCCTCGAGCTCCGAGCGCCTTCTGCAGAGTTAGTCGGCCTTTCTTGGAAGCCTTCATGTTTTGCAGCTGCCAAGGATCTCAAGGAAGCGGCCCAGTCCCTTGTGAAGGCCTTGCCGTCGTCAGTGAGCGGATCCTTGAAGACGTCTCTGGCCTAAGAGTGAGACAACCCCGAGCAAGTAAGGCGCGACGCGAACTGCGAACTGCGTGAGGCCTCGCCGTTCTCGAGCACGATTTCTGCGCACTTGAACGCGACCTAGCAGATGGCAGTGGCTTACAGCAGGAATTAGAAGCAATCGCACTCCAAATCATTGGAGGATTAAAGTATCCTGATTGGAAGCAACAATCCGCAATGCAATGCCTGGCCTTGAACGTGTCGCGATTGACCTTCTGCAACAAGGCGCCGCCTCAGAAGATGAATTTCCGACGTGCTCGAGGCGATTCAATTAGCATCACTGGCTCCACACGGTTTGAGCTGAGCTGCCACTTCCGAACGTGATGTTTGCGGCAGCGATGCCCTCTTCCTGATGGCTGCATGCCCACAACTCACACCTGTCATGTCCATGGCAGCGATCCAACATGCCTTGAAGCGCTTCAAAATCTTCGGAATGGACTCGTAATCAACCTTGACACGGACAGTGACAGTCCGCTGTCTGTGGCCGCGTGACGCACTCAGTCTCAGTGCCCAGCACCGTCGCCCTGAATTACTCGGATGCATGGCGGGAGCAGCTTGTGTCCAGTCCTGAGAAGACTGGCCCTGAGCCTCCTCGCTACACGCTGCTACAGGCTCAGGGGTTCCGCTGAGCCGAGGCACTTGGTCTCGGTGACATCCTCCGCGAAGCACTCGAGCAGGATCTTCATGATGGCAACCTCGGAGCCCGCGGTGACAGCACTGGCACCTCTCACCCTGAAAACTGTGACCCGGACGCAGGTCTCTTCCGGATCTCCGCTGTCGGGTCGAACAACGAGCTGCCCAAAACTGGTCTCACCTTTGCTAGGGCGAGGGTGTGAGAGCAGGAGTCGCAGTTCCGCAGGGACTGGACGGAACCCGTACTCAGCGCAGCACTGATGCGACCTTTGATCTTCTCTTTGAGTTCACCGCCCCAGTATTCCCTGGCAGGGCTTATTGCTCCAAGCTACGGTGCCAGGCCCTGGGGCTGCAGAATGCTGTCAAGAACATATCTGCGCTGTGACGTCGCTGCCTGCAAGCTTTGAAGACGTCGAAGGAATCGCTCACGCAGGCGACAAGGCCTCTCAGAGCGGCATGTTCAGGCGGCCTCGTGTGTGACTAGCAGCCCACCATGCCTGTCGGATACTGGTCCAGCATGTTTCGCATGGCATCGAGCTCGCCCTCAACGCCTCAAATCCGACCAAGTCCCAGAAAGTCCAATCGACTCGTTTTCGCAAACAAGCGGCCCCAGGACGTGATCGTGGAGTGCTCCGATGCTGGAATCGAGTATCCAATTGCCTGCGACAACCCAGCTCAGTCACGGTCGTCGGCGCTTCCTCTGTACTAGCCTTCTTGGCACCGTAGTACTCTTGCGCAGCAGAGAGCGCAATCACGGTGTCAGATCCCATAAAGTTGATCAGATGGCCTTGCTTCTGCATGCTTGAATCACGTGCTCGGAGCCCGGAACTGCATGCTGAGGCCAAGTACCCATGCCCCCCAGGGCGGCTGACTCCACTGATGAGACTCCTCGGAAGCCGAAGTCGTGCAGCTTGAACGAGGAACCTGCCGTACGTCTGGAGATCACATGTGCTTTCATCTTCAACAGCATGCCATGCTGCCACATCGGCCGGGCAGTTGTGGCAGCGCAGACTGAATAGAGACCGTTCCAACGATCTTAGCAGGAAAGTATCTGAAACTGCCCCTAACCATGCAGCGATGTTCTCATGAGCTGCAGAGCACGTCATAACGCCTGAAAGGTCCAAAAGCTTACCTAGACCATGAAGCCTCAACTTGTTTGCGAACATCTCCGAGTGACCCAGCAGCACTCTCACCCGTGGCCCCCAGGAACCTCCAGGAGGGGCCCAGTCTTCACAGCCGGTCTCCTGGCAAATCATTTCGCATCATACCGCTTCTACATCTCCATGTCTCAATGCGTCAAGCCATGGTGACCTATTTAAGCATGGCTTTCACTATCAGTATCACTTACTATACTCCTATGGAGAAACCCAGAAAACACACATCATACACTTCATACCTGCCTACCTACCTGCCTGCCTGCCTGCCTGCCTGCGTGCCTGTCTCCAGCGACAGCCACACATACTTATATGACATACATACATACATACATACATACATACACATACATACATACATACATACATACATACATGCATGCATACACATACATACATACATACATACATACATACATACATACATACACATACATACATACTTACATACATACATACATACATATACATACATATACATACACACACACACATGCATACTTATGTGATTTATGTAAAAGCACTTATGGTTGCACGCACGTTTGAAGCAGAATGCAGAGTCTGAACATGGCGATGAGACCTCCAAGTACTGTTGGATGGACAACTTCTGGTAGCGGCTGTTGGTGGCAACGGTCATGGGGTACCAGACCTGGTCGTACACCCAACGTGAACTTTGCTGCTGCACCTACTGCAGCAAGGCGCATCAGCGACAAGAGTCTTCCCGGCCTGCACCAGTAGCGTCTCCAGAAAGTTTGTGAGCCAGTAGCAGGCGGGGTCTGTGTTAACCACTGTGATGAGCACGGTCTTGGTCGGGACCACCTTATGCTCCAAGCATCATGGGCTGAATGCAGACTCGCAACTGTAAGAAACTAACCACGAAGCAACCTCAGCGCAAAGCAGTGCCCTCTGGGAGCGCCTGGACAAAGACCATCCCGTGTCCAGGCTGCGCGCCGCAACTTGCAGCCGACCCTGCGGTGCCTTGATCTTGACTGGCAGCTTGCCGCCATGCTTCTCGAGAATGTATTCCCAGCCCTCCTTGTAAAATAGCTCCTCGGTATTTGAGGAGCATCACAGCAGCTAGCATCTGCATACAAAATACATCGAGAACTATGGAGCCGTGTCTGTAAGCATAGGGCTGGATTCTCACTTGTTCCATCACCAAAGTGCTGCGAATAGATCTTTGTCGCTGCATCAATCTTCTCTCGGGTAACCTCATGCTGCAATGCCGAGTTGCAACATGCGAAACGGCCGGCAACAACGGAAGGCGTCCGGAGAGACAGACGCTTGAGTTTATCCAATTATGGATGCAATTGGTGCATAGTGGCCGCTGCAGCAGGCACAGTAAGATATGGCCAAGGTGCCACCTTCCCACTCAGGTAGCGCTTCAAGAAGTACTGCAGGCCTCATGAACCGAACAGGTTTGTCAGAGTCTCTAGAAAGGCTCAGCCAAACATCAAGGACCCCGGGCCGAAAAAGCAAACTTCATCCCAGCCCTCTCGATCGCAGCCGCGGCTTTCGAAGTAGCTGTAGACCTGACCAGTCCCAGGCATACCATCCCTGCTCGCAGGACTTCAAGGCCTGATAGCTTGGTCGCAAACGTACTGCGTCCCTGGCGGGTACTGACGCCAGTGGCTGACCTGCCCAGAAATCGGAGTTGCCCTGGACATGGAGGGATGCCAAGGATGCCTTGTAGCTGTCTGAGAGCAGCAGAATGTTGTCCATCCTCAGTTAGATTAGCGGGTGTGCCCTCAAGGCAGAGAGGCGGTCTGGTAAGCTCCCTGAGCACTGCGCCAAGACATGGTGCAGTGGCGGATGGCGGCGGCCCAGCCAAATACCTCCCTGGAAGCAAAAGCTGGAAAGGTCCGAGGGTCGTCTGCCTTCAAACTTGCTGGCTGTGATGCACTGATCCCACTGCTGTCCGCACCACTCACGCAACGGTCGACATCTTCCGCCAGCAGCTGCCCAGCTGCCGAGCTTGCACTTGGCAAAGTCTTGGTCGGTTCCGCCTTTGGCGCTCGCCGACTGCGAGGACGGCACTCCGCCGGATCCACAGCTCAAGCCATGGCCAGACCTCTCACGGTCTCAAACGCCATTGGCGTTTTGGTGAAGAGTCTCTGAAAGGAAGCCTGGCCAGGGCTCGGTCTGGGGCCTCTTGGGCGGACTGAGTTTGGCGACTTTGGCGATGCCGCCCCGCGCTTCGGGGCAGGCAAAGTGAGACAGTCTCGCTAAGCGATCCCGCGGAGCCGAGCACTGGCTCACGCAAAAGTAGTGTAAGGGCCTCCGCTCTCCCCAAACCACAGCTCTCACGGAAGTTTAGCTCTTTTAAGCTCTGAGGGGATGGCCGCCCGTGTCCCCTGAGCAGCTCGCGACTATTCAACTAGACACAGGTTTTGCACGCATGCGAACATGCTCGCATACCCACACACTCAGGGTTCAAATACAACTCACTAAGTCCAAGGTAACCATACTCAGCAGGATGCTTGCAATCGGTGTGTCGGTGCACTTGTTGACCCGCTACAAAGTGTGGCTCGGCATCTGTGGCTCCTCAACTGCAACCAAGCACAGAGAGATAGGGAAAGAGAGCGAAAGGGAAAGGGAAAGAGAAAAACAAAGAGCAAGAGGAAGGGCAAAGAGAAAGAGAAGCACAAAAACACACACGGAGCCACATGCCTGGTCCCGGTGAAGCCGCTTGCCGCGCCGCCGCTCTGCGGGCTCCCACTGAGAACCTGAAAAGAAGCAACCAGCGGGGGAGCGGCGAGCGGGCCAAGCTCTGCAACTCCTAGCACTCCACTGACACAAGGATAAGGCTGAAAGCATGAAGTTTGCCTCAGCTCGCGAGGAATGGAGAAGCCGTCATCTGTGTGAGAGCCCGACTAAACCCAGAAAAACATGATCTCATTCGCTCTGCACTGCCTTGTTGGCAGCCTTATGCATGCTGTCAAAGCTTCCCCAGGGCCCCAGAGTTGTGTGTGTTGTCGTCAAAAAAGTTGCTTGTAGCATCCCTCGCATTACCCAACATCACCATCACCTCGATGCCTACATCTGGAGGACTGATGGCTTCTGCAAGACACTCATCCAATGTAGCACGACTTCGTTCAACGATGACCGTCACCGGTGCAGCACACAGGTCGCTTTGTGTCATGCCCTGGTGCACGTGCAGGTCTCCATGTCTCAACTGAGACTGAGACTGCTGCAACCCATGTGCCACGTGCTTCATCCCTCTGAAAGAATCTCTGGATGCTTCCCCAGCTCAAGCCCGTTTAGTAGAGCACTCCACAACATGACAAGCGCACGCCACGCGTTGCAGCATTTTGCTGGTACTCTGCAGGCATTTCGGACCAGGCAGCTGTGCTTAAGTGCGGATGTCCAAGATCGGCACCGGCTGCTCATATTATAGATAAATATAGATAATATAGGTGGTTTGCATAGGGGAGGTTACGGGATTTAGGCGAGGCTACGGGGTCTAAAGGTCCTCAGGTCGCGGATGTCCTCACTTAGAATAACCACCACATTGGCACTTGGGACGTTCTACATATGCAGGGGCTCAAACATGGACCACAAATGCGGGTTACTGAGCATTGGCAGTTTTTGAGTGTCCTCCTAGAAGAACGACTCTACCTCATCATAGAAGCCCATGCGTTCAAGCTGTCACTCACCCGAGCTTGCGCCGCTCTATGGACCATCGTCATCCTCAAACCGCTGAAAGCTATTTTGGCAAATTCCTTTGAAAGCAGCCATCGCGATTCCGGAAATTGCGCCACACGGAAGGAAAAGGAAGCACCACAGCCCGCACCATTTCATGGTGTCCAAGAGATCGGCCCTAAATCTTGTTGGGCTTTCCAGCATGACCCAATGGGCTTGCTCCGTTAAGATTGCCCGGGAGTTGCGCAGAGGCAGTCTCCAGCGCGCTACGAAGGGTGTCCATTGCTTCCGGATTGCGCCCCAGGTGGTTCATGAAAAAGCGGAAGTTGAAGACCATTCCACAAAGACCCGAAGTCCCACAATCTGGGGCTGTGGGAGCTACCAGCGGGTCACCCTCCTTGCTGCTTGAGAATTCCTCCTCTTCCACACCGGTGATGGCCCAAGCACAAGCACGAGGCGTGGGGCAGCTGCTAGAGTTGCCAGGATCACAGTTGAAGATGGGCCGTGCCAGCACATGGCAAGCGTAGGTGCGGGATGATGAGGGCATTTGCCAACTCACCACTCGGTAGCACTCCGGGATGTCAATCCGTGTCGCTTTTGGCATGTGTCCACCTTGCATCAAAGTGCCATCTTCAAAGTAGATGCCTCCCTCGAAATTCTCCCACGTCTGCATGCTACAAAGGCTGACCTCCTGCAGAGGCTGCAGCGCAGCGATTTCTCTGTACATGGCGATTGGAGATTGCAGGGCTGCGGCACTGGCAAGGACATGCACACAAACAGCCGGTGTGACCTAGGACGAATTTGGGTCCGAAGATCCCTTTGCCTACGTAGGTCCAGATAGCGCCATTGAAATAGCACCCAAGGGCCATAAGGCTAGCGACGAGGATCACCATGACTACGAAGCCAAGCCAGTGGGACAAAGCTTGCGAGTAAACCAAGAGGACTCCAAACGCCACATAAGCCAACAAGCAAACCACGGAGACAAGGGCCCATTTTCTTGGCGGATCATTGAAGTCAGCCTTGACAGTTCCTCCCTTAAACTCAAGAACCTCCGGCAAATCCTCTTTTTTCTGGTATCTACTGAGCAACTTAAACATAGAAACAAAATGGGTTCCAAGCAGCAGCCCAGTTGCAGGTATGATGGAAGGTAGGAAGGTTGTCTTGAGATCCGAGTTGTCACTGTCATCGTCGCTCGACATCGCTTTGGAAGGCACAGCCGCAAGCGTCAACCTACAAGTCAATTAATCCCCTTGAGCCTGGGCCGCACCAAGTCATGGTACATTGCTCATGGTTTTAGATTTCAGCTTCAAACTCTTACTAGGGCCGCAGACAGCATCGCAGCAGCAGTGACTGCTTACCAGCAATGGCTTTGCTACCTCACGCCCAAGCATAGTTATCTTGAGAACTTGCCAGGGCTGTCTCGGTAGCACCGAAGTTCGAAGTAGCGGCACAAGGCTTACATTCGTAGCTTTTAATATGCTTGGCATGCAAATAGCACACCTTCGGATTCCTTCACGGCAGGCGAGTTTTGAGACCCAAAAAGGATCCGCAACTTCAGCGGTTTCAATTCTTGGCAGAAACGAGGAGCAAGAAGTGCAGGCATGAAAATGGGCTGACTAATTCGGGGAGGCCCACTGAAGCCCTGAGACACGCTGGCACGTCTCTTGGAGGCACACTTTGGCCCCTCACCAAGGGAGCTGGGAGCATTGTACCTCAAAAACAAAAGATGAAAAAGGTCCCGCCTTGCTGTGTGTTCTGAGATCCAGGCGAACCAGGTCCGGGCAGTTTCGACATCTCAGAGCCAATTGGACATAAGATGTGTTCTGAGTTGGCCTTGACAGCTGCTATGGTCGGGACCCAAGCTGCAGATGTACTCTTCCCTGAAGGACAAGCTCCAAAGCTCAATCACTCTTGGTGTCAACTGACCTAGCATACCTGGCATTCTCTTTTGGGAAGCCTTTGATGCCATTGACGGGTCGGTCCTCCATCTGTTGCCCTGGCGCCAGAAGCTTCGAGACTTTCGAAAAGTCCTGTGAACCCTAAACCCTAAACCCTACACCCAAAACCCAAACCCTAAACCCTAAACCTTGTGGCACTGCAATTGGCCTTGGTCCTGACGCTTCGCCGTTCCGAAGCCCCAGCCTGGCTCGGTATGCTGTACCATGCTTGCTATACCATGCTACATTGTGCTTCAGTACCCTGCAAAACACACTATTATGCTATATTATCCATCATTATCCTATGCCTAAACCCGAAGCCCTAAACCCTAAACCTAAGCCCTAAACCCTAAACCCTAAACCCCAAACCCTAAACCCCCAAACCCTAAACCCTAATCCCAAAACCCCAAACCCTAAACCCTAAATCCTTTTGTGGCTTTTGAAGGCTCGCTGGGGCTCGGGCTCGGCAGCCGAGGTTTGGTCCGGCCAAGGGCTCCTTCCATGCTGCCGTACTGGGCCGGCCTCGGGGACCCGGGACAGTAGATCTCAGAGTATATTATGGTATCTTATGGTAGGTTAGGGTATATTATCGTATGTTATAATAGTATGGTATCTTATGGTATGTTATGGTATATGATGGTATACCATGAAGTATATTATATCATGTGCTGACAATGCTGGTATACCATGGCATGTTAAAGTATGCTATAGTAAATTTTGGTATATTGTGGTATACTATAATACCTTATAGTATGTTATAGGATCTTATGGTATGATGTGACATACTGCAGTACATTAGAGTACATCATGGTACATTATGGTATCTTATGTTATAATATGGTATATTACAGCACACTATGGTATGATATAGCAAATATGGTCTATTATGGCACCTTATAGTATGTTATGTTATATTGTAGTATGTTTTAGTACATATGATATACATACATATAAAATACTATGGCATATTACTGTGTCTTATAACAAATCATGGCAGAACATTACATAGTACATTACAAAATATGCTGGCATACTATGGCATAGAAATGCATATGCTGCAACATATTATGGTATATTGTGGTTTATAATAGTATCTTATTTATGGTATAACCTGGTATATATAGTACATTATGGTATATCATGGTATATTGTGGTATATTGCAGTACACCATGGTATGCTATAGTATATTGTGGTATATAATATTAAGTTATGGTGTATTGTAGTACATTATGGTATCTTATGGTATAATATGGCATATTATGGCATATTATAGTAAATCGTGATATGCTATGTATATTGAAGTATATGCTTGTATATTTTAGCATATTACAGTATACTATAGTCTACAGTATATCATAGTATGTTGCGGTACAATATGGTATGTTATAGTATATTATGGTATATTATCGTCGGTGTAATATTGTGTGTTATAGTGCATTATGGTATCTTATGGTATACTATGGTATATGATAATACATGACAACATATTATGGTATAACCTGGTATACTATAATACGTGGTGATATATTATGGTATATTATAGTATGTTATGGTAAGTTATAACCTCTGAGCTGAAAGCTTGTGCTCTTTTGGCCCATCTTGGCCCACGGCCCAGGAACCAGAACACCTCCGGCCTTGCCGGAAATCCAAAGCAGACGACGGCAAAAACGGGCAGTGTGTGTGTGTGTGTATGTGTGTCAGCTTGCCTTCGCGGCCCTGCGAGGCAGAATGCTGTACCGCGGCCTCGGTCTGCAAGGAACTTCCGAAGCTGCTGAAGTCCTGTGATTTGGGGGCTCCGCCCGTCAGGCTGCGCCTCATGGACGTGTGCACCAGGGCCGGGCCTTGCTGCACTGGAGATCAAAACATTACCATAGCCTCACAGGCACAGAGACAGATCTACATACACGCATACATACATGGATCCCTCCATCCATCCAGAATCCAATCCAATGCCACTGCCATACCCTACCATACCAGACATTGCACTACATTGCGTTGCGTTGCAGTACATTACATGCAGACATACAAGCTTACAGACATGCAGACATGCAGACTTCATACCTACGTGCGTGCCTGCCTACCTCCGTGCCCACCCACCCGCACGTTCACCCACCCCCACACACTGCAAATCGCTGAAAGTCCAAGCGACATAGCTGGGTCATTCTCAAGATCGGGTGATCCAGGCCACCGTCGCGGAGTGAGGGAATAGGCTTTGCCGGAGCCAATGTAGCCTCAGCATCTGCAGCAGGAGGCGAGACCAGCAGTTTCGACGAGGATGCCTCCCCTCAGAACCCAACTGCCTGAGGCTCGTGGATATGCCCCTGGCCCAGGTACAACCAGCTGGCTGTTTGCCTGCGCACCGGATTCGCTCTGCACCGCTCTATGTGTTCCTTGCGATAAACCGCTCAGACCGTTAAGAACGAAGCTCAGAAACTCAGAAAGCTCGCCTCTCTCGGACCAGTTCCAAAGCCATATCCAGGACTTCGTCGATGGCGAGAGGAATATGCCTAGCCGTCACATCTGTCGAAGTTTCAGAGATATTTGCGGCATTCCTTGCCTCGGGCGGCGTGTCAGCGCCTCCGTATTTGCCGGGCCTGGGACGTAAAGAAAAACACGAGGCAGACGTGTCTTTCCCGGGAATTTGCTTGGACATCGACCCGGGCACTTGCGCTGAGGCGCGAAGGCTGCGGGTCTTGAACCTGGGAGGCACGGAACGGCACTGCATGTTTCTGTATGCTTTGTTCCCGGAAACAGGTGTGAACATGTGCTATTTTGACACAGCTCCCAGCCTGTCCCGCGCCCCACGGAAGGAGTACTTCGGAGCACGGCGAAGAGTTGACAAGTGCATTACCTCGTTCTGCTGCTACCATCGTCTGACCCTGGCATAGCTAGGCGCTGTGGCCGCGGCAGACTGACCGACGGGCCCACCCTGGGTTTGGCAAGGGGGGGAGAACCGCGGGGCGCAGAGGTTCTCTGACAGAGAGGCGTCGGGTCCCGGCCTTCTCGCGCTTCGGCGTGGTCGGAGCTATGGCCTCGGGGTTTCAGAAACGGCTCAGCCCGGGAAGTGCGACGGGCAGCCATGGCACCCTTCGCTCTAAGTTTGCTGGCTGCACTTGGCGAAGATGGCGACATCCTTAGAGTTCAGGCGCCGGACCCTCACACCTGCACTTGCATCCAAAGCAAACACCAAGACATCCAAGAGGCTCCCTGGACTCTTCTGGTGGCACCTCCTGCGACTCCTGGCAATATCGGTTCATCGGAAGGAGCCAAAGACAACCCGGAAAAACACGAATTGCCGTTCAAAGATGCACTCATTTGGAAGGAGGATGCTCCTCTGACGGCTGTCCATTTTGTGCTCCTGGCACACGCTTCAAGGATCTTCAAGCCACTACTCGGAGCTGATTCGCATCACATTAAAACAGATCCGTGCTCCTTTCTGAGCTTTGTCTGACCCATTGCGAGGCGACTTCTCCATGAGATGCCGCACGCATACATTAATAGATCAACCCAGCATGCCAGAAGGATGTGTCTGTGTGGGTTGAGTCCTGAACATGTCGCTAAATCGCTTTGCGACTCCCGAGGGCTCTTTGCCTCTCTCGAATGTCCATCGTGTCCGGATGGGCAGTGGATTGCACGCATGCACTCACATGCCGTCCTCAACAGAAAACAGGTGTCCGCATCTCTGCAACCCGTGCACCGAAAGCTTTTCCTGCGATTCGCCGAAGCGGACGGTGTCTAAAACGGGAGTGAGAGCCCCCTCCGTTAACATTAAAGTGTTGCCCTAAGTGCCATCAGGAATGGAACTGCTTTAGTCCGTGGGCCGATCATTCAAACCACTAGGCATACCTGTTCCTGTGCTGGTGAAACACAAACGAGATGAATACAAATCAACCAACCTTCTTGATGATCTGCACGACGTCCTTGCCATCTTGCACCATCCCGCGGGGCAATGAAACTCTGTTTTCTGTGCCTCGTCCATCAGCTCGTGGTCTTTCCCACATCTTTGGGGATTATGTCTCGCCTGGCAAGTCAAAAATTAAAAAGGAGTTGGGCAGGGAAACGAGGGTTTGCACAAGAGCGCCGGCAGTGCGGACATTCCCCACACGAGTGCGACTTTGAACCTTGGCTCCAAGCTCGCGTGTTTCCGACTCCACGACACGGTCGAATCTCAGGCGGAAGCTGCGCTAGGAGAGACTTGTGTATCCGGACGCAGAAATCCTGGTACGCAGCTGTGGGATCGTCTGTATCCCAACAGCGAGAATTCACACACGGTACTTCGGATTCTCCGGGGACGGGGACGAGACACCCGAGACACAAGACTGCATTCTGGGGGTCATCCCTTTATGATAACTGTGGTCCTCAATCCTGTTCTTTTCCGCTGGAAGAATTACTGGAGCCTCTGCAGAAAGCCACTCAGCATCGCAGCTGCATGCTTCCACCGCTTCTGGGACGGCGACGGTGTAATCTGGAATCTGTCCTCGAGGTTTCGTGTAAATCCTCGCAGGTGCGGTCTTCACATGTTCGAGGACGCTCGGCTCTCCGCAGATCCTTGCCTCAGCAGGCTCATGTATCTCCAGATCATCTCGACGAGTCCGTCCAGGTTCCACTCATGGTGCGCACAAATGGGCACGTGGTGGGGCACCTGCGACAAGCACATCTGACATGGCAGCAGTCAGGCAGCCTCTGCACCTCAGCGATGATGTCGAGCTCTTCGATTGTGATCTGGTCGATCTTGTTCATGACATAGATGCAAGGGCAGTACTTCCGATTGCCCTGATCAAGGTGGTCTGTTTGCTGACTGTGCTGCCGGCTACATAATCCTAACCCGTTACCATGCAAGTCTCTGCAGGCCAGGAAACGGCATGTTTTCTGCATCCACTGACAGGCCTCGAGCGTGTCAATGATGTCGTCCATCGTGGCATCACATCTAATCGAGACTTGGGCATTGGAGATGCGATACTCTCGAAGGACCTCACGGTACAAAAGTGGTCCAGCAAGTAGGCAGGTTCAAAACCGAGCTTCGAGCACCCATGATGCTCTCCTCATCGCAGTCCTCTCCATGCATGATGGACACGTTGATTTGCAGATACTTGCAGTCACCCGCAGCATGGACAATTTCATCTCAGTCAGCATGCTTCCTTCAGCACACAGCCCGGGGACACGTTAAGCGCGATTCCTCCTTTTTCCTGCCACAGCGAAACATGATCCACTGCTCAAGCTCATTCCAGCGACTTCAAGACATGCATGCCAAGTTGATGTCCCTCTTTTTGAACAGAATGTTCGGCGGCTTCTTGTTTAATCGAATCCTCGTTGCAAGAAGATTTTACGTACAAGTGGAGACTAGACTTGAACATACGTCAACGACTGCAAGCTGGGGTTCGCACCCGAAGCCCTCGAGCTCATATTCGATCTTACGCTTGTGCAAGATCGGCTTCATGACATCCAACACCTTGGATGCACGTTGGACAAGCGGAACTTGCAATTTGCCAGCACCGAAACTTTCAAGAAGCTGAGGCGGCTTCTATCAGAATCAGGCTGCAGCTGTAGGCCACACTAATGACCTGGCAGACACAAGCACATTAAAGCACAGATTTAGGGCTTAGAGTTTAGGGTTTAGGGCACAGCTTTCCCAGGACAGCGCACCGATGCAGAAGCGCCTGCTTCCCACGGCCTTTGCCATCCTTGGCTCCCTCGATGATCCCGGGCAGATCCAACAGCTGGATCTTGGCGCCCTGCGAGTGGCAACTTTGAGCCCTTGCAGGTGAAGGATCCCTAAGTCCACCTTGTAGTTGAAAACGCCGGGGACACAGGTCAGAGTGGTGAACTCATAGGAGGCAACCTGGCAAGGACGAAACACACAAACATCAGCTCGTCCCTAACCTTATCCAGGCCTCGCTGGCGCTCCCTGTCATCTTGTTTAGCAGTGTCGACTTGCCAACCTGTGGACAGCCACATGCTGCTGCTGTAGACATGCTCGGTAGGTGGCTGGACACGTAACCGGCAGAACTCCGTGCTTGTCACACATACACACACGGAAACAAACACACGCAGACTGACAGGTCCCGAGAGTGACACATATAGTTGGCGTGGTGTAGATGTTGGTTTGGATAGATATGACACGACCACGCAATACGCACCACATGACTCCGGCAGCCATCGGGCAATTCCTAGAACGACTGTGGCGAGGGTCCCTTACGGACCTAGATGCTTTGCATTGTACCAAGCCCTCGCGGCCAAGGCACGGATGGGAAGCCGATGAGGCCAACTCGAGCATCTCCGGTCTTGGAGACCTGAGCTTGCCGAGAGCTGACTTCGCCGGCTCCGGGTTGTCAGACGTCCCCAGATCGCCTCGAAGCCCTGCTGTCCTCCGCCTCCCCCGCTTCCCTTCGTGCCCTCGGACACGATCGTCGCCCGAAGCTTTGCAAGCTTGGCCTGCAAGCGAAAAACCTTCGCACTGACCTAGCTCTTAACTTGGGCACCAGCCTTGAGGAGGCCCAAGTGGGCATTTGTCGCTTTGTTTTTCTGAGTTCTGGCCATTTCAGCCTCTCCGAGACGGGGACAGCAATTCTGTACACGACTACTCGCAAAACCGTACATGCCCTGCCCGCCTCGATCTCAGCGATTTTCTGCAACGCACTCATGGCTGCAAAGTTGCAACCGAGTGCCTCGAAAAAGAGCAAATAGACGTGCATGCCATTATGACAGTCTCTGCAGAAACAGCTTGCGTGAACTCGCAGGCGCACCTGAAGGCAACTCTACACGGCTCCTGGTTCGGCACGAGCGTGGCTACGCCCTCTGGAGCATCGAGCAGCGCACCAGTGAACGCTTCGAGTTGTCCCCACCCTTCCCAACAGAGAATCGCATGCCCAAGCACAAGCTCAGCCTTTTTGATCGAAAGCTGAGTCAGCCGGAGATTCAAAGCGCAAAGCCTTGACCCCACACAACTCACAAGGCTGACTCAGAGAGCAACCCCTTGCTTCTTTCCCCACCCATCAAGCGCAGAGCCAGTAGTATACTTAGAATACACTGAATACAGGACCACTTGCCTGGCTACTGCAATGGATGTACTGCCTCTGTGCGCACTTCTGTACAAAGAAGCTCATTCGTCTTCAACGGCATGAAGCGCCTCATGCCATTCATAACATCAAGCGGCCATGACTTCAGATCCCTGACTCCCTCGCTCAAACCTTGCAGCGGCTTCATGAACCCCGGATCTCTGTTGATATGGGTGGCTCGAAACCCGCCCGGCTGCCCATTGGAGGGTGGGCCGAGATAGAAAAAAACACACTGGGGGCCCTCGTGGTGCTCTTCAATCATCGGCTTCGCTGAGCTTTGGGTTTGGTGCATCTCGAGGGAGCACTTCCGTGGCCGAGGCTGTTCTCGCTTCATTGCTTCGGCTCATCGCGCCTGGCCGTCCTTTAATCGTCATGCCCAGCCCCTCCCAGGTTCTTCCGTGGTACGAAGCCGAGTCTCCAAGACGGAAAAAGCATGAGTGACATGACGTCAACATTACTTTGGGTCGGGACTTCCCATGTGGGCCTTCGAGCTTATTGTCCCATCTTGCAGAAACTCTCCAACGCTCACGCTGATCTCAACAGGCAGATTCCCTAGCCTTGGGCCATGTCGGGCCCGTCAGGCCTTTGTTTCAGGTCATGGGCCTGCGAGGCTTCCACTTAAAGGTTTTGGGCAGGGCTAGCCACTCGCTACCAGTAGTCTTGAAAGGTCGCTTCTGTTTTCAAGTTGCATCTTGACAGCTCGGACAAGTCTGGGCAGACCCTCTCATCACCGAAGCTGAAGCGGCACCTGGCCTGTTACGCTCCTGCTCGCGAAGCAGCGGATGCTTCCTGGCACCGCAACAGCCGCTTCCCCTGCTCTACTCTTGCAGTGGCAGTCATGCTCTGCACTGGCTGCCAAGCAGCTTCCATGAGTCGCTCGAGATCCAACTCCAAGTCATCTCGGGACGGCTTCACCGTGTCGGACTGCCCTTGACGGGACAAGGACATCTTGCCCCTCAGCCATGCACAGGCGGGCAGCCTGCTGGAGGATTTCCCGTCGCGCTGGGAGAGATCTCCTCCTGCTTGCTGTTCTCATGTCTACCGGTCTTTATCGTCCGTCCACGCGTGCTTGTGTCATGTGCACTTATGCAGGGTCGAGTCACCTCCATGAGTCTCTCCAAATCCAACTCCAAGTCATCCCGGGACGGCTGAACAGGCTCGTCTTGTCCGCCGTCTTGTCCGCCTGCAAAAGGAGGGCAACATTGTTCAGCTCCGACGGGGAGCCTTTCTCCGTGCCTTGTGGGGCGCTTGCTTTGGCGCTTGGGGATATCTCATCCTGTCCGCTGTGGGGAGTGTCAGGCAGCATGAGGAAAGCTGTGCTTGAACACTTTCAGGCATTTCACGATATTTCAGGATCCATAGCTGGACATAGCCGACTGGATACAGACTCAAAGAGTCTTAGAGTCAGAGATGTTCCCCTCCAGTTCCATCGAACTGCCTCCATGAGTCGCTCCAGATCTAGCTCCAAGTCATCCTGCGAAAATGGCCCAGGAGCTTAGGTCACGGTGCTGAATCGCCGTATGTCCCACCTGTGATTGCTGATTCATGGTATCGGTCTGCCCACCTTGCAGCTGCAAAGCAAAAGCAGGCATTTACTCAGACGTCATTTCCAGCCTTGCGATGCCACCGCAGGGGCACTTGCGGGCATCTCCTCCTTCATCTCTTGGCAATTCAGACAACAGCATGAAACGGCAGAAGCCAAGAATTGCCTGCAAATGAACCCAAAGCCTCAAGACTTAAAACTGGACCTTCGCAACTGCTCGCTTCGGGCCTCCATGAGGCGTTCGAGTTCCAATTCCATGTCATCTTGGGAAGGAATCGGCATCGTCGGCTGGCCTGCGTGTTTCACCGGGCTTTACTCACTTCCGGATCTCGTGAAGACGTGCCACCTTCCGCAGCTCCTGCTCCACTGTCTGCAGTCTCAGCCTTCGGGACCAGAAGCACAGCCATCATCAGCTTGAGCGAACGCTGCCGTGCAGCCTTGTCTAACATGGTGGGCGGAGCAGATGCCTCAAAATGGTACTATTAAAACCAGCGCCAAGCCCCGCCAGCCCCACCAGCCCGGCTCACTGACTGCAACAAGATCAAACGCCAACGACACGAGGCCTGGTCTTTGACCGTCGCAGCCGCACTCGCCGCCTTCCGCAATGCCAAGCGGTCGGCAAATTTAGCACGTCTTTCGCCGCTGGCGGCTGCTTCCACGTGCATATGTTGATTTCTGCTTCTAGAACTCATCGCAATTTATTCGTGAGTTTGCTGCTCGCCTCGCCCACAGCCGTGGGAGCAGCAGTCGATGCCTGACCGATTAGGGCTGTTTTGGTTACAGCTCGCTCTATGCTCTAGTCTTCGGAATCAGAGAGGAACCCGTGGGAGTTTCGTAGCTGGTTGGGGTGGATGCACTTGCGGACCAATCAGGAAATCTGAGTTCGTGAATTCGTTTGCAAAGTATGACATACGGGCAGGCGCATGTGCGGATGGGTTTTTAAGGGGTTGAGCGGGGCACGTGGCTCTGAGGAACATGCACGTCCCCAAGGCTTCTTCACAGCGCCTCCACACATCGACTACTGGATTCGCTGTTTTTGCAGTAGTCACGCCCATCTCAGGCGAGCATTCATACCTCAGCCGCCTTATTCGCGACAACTTGCATTCAGAATAAGAACCCCAAACCACGAACCTCAAGATGCTCATCGGAGGTTTCGAACATGGCCTTTCCCTTCATGCTTGAGACTTGCTTGTGAGCGAACCTCATCCATGGCTGTGGGAGCAGCCGCAGCAGCCGATGCCTCAACTGACATGCACGACATAATCCCACCTTCTGACACACTCCTGCCTTGACGTCTGCAGTGCTCGATACCTCTTCAACCAATCTCTTGCAGTGCCGGACATGCCCATGCTTGGTACGCTAAAGAGCGTAGCGCTACCCAACGCAGTGTTGCCACGAGTAGAGAGCGAGTTGAGGATTGCATATGGCCTTTGGGCAAGTTGCATACAAGGACGTACAGTTCGCGTAGTGGTCAGTGGAAAGCTCATGTGGTTGTGGTCATCGTCGTGGCCACCACCAAGCCCGGTCCCACTCACCGCGTGGGGACAGACCCAGACAAAACTGCGAAATGTTCGAGAATTCGGTGGAGGCTAGGGCGGCTAGGGCCTCGTCGGCCGTGGGAGCAATGCTCGCTGAGGCCTGTTCCAGTGATCCAAGCAGGTCATGAAGCACCAAGAACCCACAACTGCCACAACGCAAAGATGCAACCAGACCTCGTCGCGGGCCGTCGGAGCTGTGCTCGCAGCCTCAAGCGGACGTGAACGGAGAGCCTCAACTTTTGATGCACAGCTCGAGGGTGAGCAAATCCAAACCTTGTCCATGGCAGTGGGCGCAGTTGTCGTTCGCGCCTGCATGCGAACGACGTGCAAATTAGCCACTAGCATCTTGATATCGCCTCCGGAATCCCAACAAACCTGCTGAGAGCTGCACCGACGCAGGTGCTGCAGTGGGCGCGTCCAACTCAGTTGGCAAACTGTCATAGGCTGCATCCAGCCTCGGTGCCGGGCACAACAGTGCAGGCAACGCAGGTGGCACCGAACTCTGAAGAGCCCGACAGCCTTTCCAAGTCTTCTTCCAGCATTTCCTCGTCCTAGATCACTCCAAGTTGCGACATGTCAATATAGGTTTTGATTCAAGCGGTCAGCGCATGCCACCGAGATTGACAGCACAGTGAACTTGAGAGCTCAGCCTGTTCGGTCTCAGCCGTTGCACCTTTACCGGAAGAGGCCTGCATTGCTGGCTTGCCTGACCATTGACTTGAGCAAGGCGTTGAGATGCTTGACAGATGTTTGCTTCCTGCCATGAGAACTGCTTGGCTGCCTGTGGCAGCTGGGTCTGGCTTGTCCACATCACCGTCAACCTCAGCAGGAAGATTCGCAGCCCAGCAAAACTTCACCTGAGTTCTCTTCTCGCCTTGGCCTTCTTTACTGCTGGCTCGTCTTTAGAAGCCTTGAGGCAGGCAACTTGTGCTGCAACGAACGTCGAATCGGCTCTGGCCTCGCCGGCGGAGCCCCGGCCTGAGTATACGATGTGGGGGTTTCCGAAAACAGGGGACCCTAATATAGTTGCATAAATTAGTAGGATCCTTATTATAAGGACCCCTAAATAAGGTACCCTTTATTTTCGGAAACCCCCATGTCATGCCCGAGTCTTCTCTTCTGGCAGCAGGGCAAATCCATGGGATGCGCATGCTTGCCAGCTGCTCTGCTAATATAGCCCAACGTTGCCACTGGCTGTCGTAAAGAGATCATACAATCACTGCATGGAAGGTGACCAGACACCTGAGCCGACCCTCAATCCCAGCCCGCAACCCTGAATACACAAGCCCAGCCCGCGCGTGCAAATATCTAAACCACAAGCCGAAAGACTCAAACCCAAACCCCAAGTAAGTATGCTAAACCCTCGCCATAAATATTCAACGCTGAACAATCAAGTGCCAAATACCTTTCTTCTATGTAGTCTTTTATTGCCCCATTGAGACTAAACCATCCTAAAACAGCTGGCTTGGGCCGGCGCCAGCGCCTTTCGCTGGCATCAGCCCCAGCTCAATCAGGCGGCGACGCACCTGCGGTCTGAAATTCTGTGGAAAAGTGCCTTAGGCAATAGCTTTCAACAGCTGAGCACGATACTAGGGCATCTAGCTACCAGGTTTGACAGCACAGCTGTGGGAAACAGCAGCGGCAACACAGTCGCCCTCACATTTTGCACTGTGCACTTCTAAGATCCTTGTGCCTGAACGTCCAAGGCAGATGCACACACGTTCTAGAAAGCATGACGTGTGGCACATCGATACTGGTACAAAAGCTCTTCCTAAAACCCTTCTCGTCCAAGAAGGGGAAGAGACAGGTGCCCCTTTTCTAGGGCCCCCCAAAAGGCATCCGCTTTCATCCTCTTAGTGAGAACGTCCGCGAGTTGCTCACCTGTCGGCACCCAGTGAAGCGGAGGGCGCACAGGGCGCTCAGGTGAAGGGTCGCAGTCCTTGCCGTGCTTGCGGGCCCACTGGTGCTTGGCTTCGGTCACCAACAGCTGCCTCACGCTTGCCAGGTCGAGCGCGAGCCGTTTCTCGGTAGGTGCCTTCGGCGTCCCTTCGCGGTGGATGTGGTCGTAGAGGGACTTGCAGTCAGTCACCAGGTGAACTTCCAAGAACTCACCGCAAAGGTCCTCGGCAACAAGGGTCCCGGTCATCATGCTGACCAGGAGGCCGCGGAGGAACACGGCTGACTCCAGGGCGTCGCTGCAGGCCATGGTCTCCCCAGCGAACGTGGAGCGGCAGACTCGTTGGCTGGCCTTGCTCTTCCATTCGACCACGCCGAAGTTGCCGCCGTTGCCCCGTATGCAACCTCGGTCGCAGACCACCACCAGGGAAGCCAGCTGGCTCGACAACGTGTGGTCTCCCTGCCACAGCTTGTCCTCAGTCGTCTCACCTGGCGGGTCAACGTTTCCCCAAGCAGCGTCGTGGAAGGCCAGGAGGGTGAGCCGGTCCTCAGGCACGCGCCGAAGGGTGATGCCCTTCTCCTTGCCCTCCAGAGCAGCATCGGCCAGCCGATTGGTCTCTTTGAGGTCCTTGATGGTGGGTCGATTTTGCTTGCGCTGGGCCTGGGAGACGGCGAACTGGAGGTCAGGGCGGGTCATCTTCGCCAGCCATGACACGCTGCCGATTGTAGTCCTGTTCTCTTCTATCTCCCCCGGTCCTGCTAACTGGTCGTCAGGAACCCCAGGAGGGATGGTCACCTTGTCCACGCGGCCCTCGCAATAGGCCTGCTGCCGGATCTCGATCGCCTCGGGAGAGCACCTGTACTCGCGCCCAACGTAGTCGAACGAGTCGTTCTCCCAGTCGTCGACGGGGGTCGTCGACGTGAGTCAGGAGTAGTCCCCGTACTTTGCCGCTCGAGCACCCGACAAGCATGAAGACGCACGGGTCGATAGGGTTCTGCTTGATCATGATGTCCTCGTCGGGCCCTTTGAACACGGTCTCCTTGAGGTCCCCGGACAGCTTTAGCCACCACAGCTTAGGAGAGGTGGATAGGCCGAAGACTCCTTTGAGGATCTCCACCAGTTGCCCTTTACGAAGTCCGGGAATGCCTCGCTTTGGCTGCCTGAAGAACAGCTGCCTCGGGGCCGGGACCCCGTTCAAGAAAGCTGCCCGCACGTCTCCCACCGAAACGCTCCAGCCCCTGGCCAACCCAAGCTGCAGCGCGAGCAAAACGCTGTGACGATTGGCCGTCGGCGCGTCGGTGGACATATCGACGACCCCCAAATCTGGGTCGTTTTGCCCAGCAACGCACAACCGGGCTTTCGGTTTAGGAGGCAAATCGGCCTGCAGCTTTCGCTTGCTGTGGTTTTTGTCCTTGTACGCGAATCTAGCGGAGAGCACGCGGGCCGGGTCGATGTTGTCGAGGACGTGCTGGCTCTCTGCCTCGGACAATGCCCTCACTGCTTGGTAATCGAGGTGTTCTTGCCATTGCTTGCGCTCTGCTTCGACGTACAAAGGGCGCTCCTCGGGCGGGATTGCGCCCCAAGGGAGCTCTTTCTCCAACTGCTTGGCCTTGCCCTTTTCAGAGCACCGGTGCTGCGCCATGAGGGCCGTCCGGGGCTTCTTGAGGTTCACCGGCACGTCGTCGAGGAGGTCGCGGCGCCGGGTTGTAATGGCCAACTTTTCCTCACGGCGGCGTCGCCCAACTGAGGGTCTATCTCAGCCGGGGCCTCCATGCTCACGTCCACAGCCGCCGAATCATCCCAACCATCCGCCGCGGCTTCGTCGAGCTCCTGGCCCTCCTCTCTGCGGATGTAGTCCTCCACCTCCTTCATGGCAACCCGCAAGCGGCAGCCAGTAGGCATCTTCCCCCGCGTGAGACCCAGTAGTTCGAGCCTTCCCGGCCCAAGACAGTTGCCGGGCCAATCCACCTCGGGGCTGGCTTTTTACCCTTTCCAGGGCGCACGTTCCGGAGCACATAGACTAGCGACCCAGGCTCAAAGGGAAGACCCTCAACCCGAGGCTTGTGGGCCGTGGCTCGCCTCAGTGAGTCAGAGGCTTGGACCTCACAGAAGGCAGTCCTGGCCCCGAGGCGAATAGCTTGCTGCCTGGCAAACTTGCTGTCGATTCTGGTCAGGTCGCGAACGCTTTCCTCCTCGGGCGCATCAATAAGGGATCTCCTGGAAGGCGCTGCCCGCAGCCGAACACCCATTGACGGGGCGAATAGCCCGACCGGCTGCGTAAGTTATTCTTGGCTGAGTTGATGGCTGCAATCGCTTCTGGGGCCTCGTCCTTCAAGATCAGGTTCGCCTCGACGTGCTTCTTCCACACCTCTTTCCATGTCTCTCCCTGGCGTTCCGCCACGGAGTTCTGCCAATGGGCCTGCCCCGCGGCACACCGGGTGTGAACGGCCATCTGGTCGAGGAGCTCTAGGAACTGGTCCTTGAAGGCGGAGTCAAGGTCGGCGATGAGAAAACGAGGTGCTCCGGCCCAGCGCACCCATCCCGTCATAAAGGCCCGAACGGCGTCCTCGGACTTGGTCCCCGCCATGGGGTAGACGACCTGATAGGTGGAGGCCACGTCGACCATGTTAAGTGCCGGGATGTCGGCCCCGCTGCTGTCGGTAGCCTCCAGCCAAATGACATCAATGGAGACGACTTCCCCAAAATCCAAAGCCATCACGGGCTTTGCGATGCGAGGTAGCTTTGCCTTGGTGCTGCGGTCGCAAGTGCGGCACGTGAGCTGTTCTGCGGCCTGAACTAGGGCAGCACTGGCCCCACCGACGCGCAAATGGCGCACCAGTTCCCGATTGGTCGGGTGGCCCAGGTTCTGATGAAGCCTTTTGAGAATAGTGGCCACAGCTGGGTTCACCTTCCCTTTGAAAGATATGCTTGCCGCCCCTGTGCTGTCGTCGGGTTCCTCGGGTTTCTCGTCCTCGTTGCCATCTGTGACGAAGGCTTCCTGGGCCCATCTTTCGCCCGGGCGCAAGCCTATGGTGGCAACCTTGGCGACGGCGCGGGCGAAGTGGTACGGGTGCACGGCGGCACGCCAGGGGTCGAGGAAGTCGGCCGTCAAGTTGTCCTTCGCCCGATAGCTGAGGCGAGACCCGGGCTCGTAGTAAGCACAGAGGTGCCGTAGAGAACTTCTCCTCCTTTGCTTTCGCCTGGCCGGGGGCCCCGCAGGTGGACTTCAACAAAGCGGGCCCTGCCTTGATCCACCCACTTCTCAAAGACGCTGTGCCGCCAAAGGTCGGAGGCCCGCGGATGTTGAACCGCGATGTGTCCCCCAGTGCTGTGCTGTAGGGCGGCGAGCTTGTCCACGAACTGCACGACCACCTCGTCTTTGTCTCGTGCCCGTCTCGCCGAATGCGGGGATGCTCTCACATCAGGGGGCCTGCTGTATCCAGAGGCCGGAGGTGACGATCTCCTTCTGCGCGGCGGGGTCCCACAGGTTGTGCCCGTACCTCCCGTCCCTCAATTCAAGGGCTGCCCCCTTCCTCTCGGCAATGGCTTGGGAGATCCTGGCCTCGCCGGCAAAGATCTCAAAGAAGTCGGCGCGGCCGGGTTCATAGTGGTGACGCCGGTGGGCAGCCTGGAAAACATCCCAAAGGTCACGGGTTGGCTCAGCAAAAACCTCCGAAGCATGTGCCGACACCGTGGCCGTCAAGAAGGTGAACGCCTGGAGGGCCGTCTTGAGCCCCTTCAACGCGCGCTTCTTGGGTCCATGGCCCCTTTCTTTCCTTAGTCGAAGGCCTTCTCGTGCTCGGCGCCGGGCTTCTCGAGGGCCACCGGGTAGAGGGCGAGCGCCGTCACGGGGCTCGCCGTCGTCATCCTCACTCTCGCTCTCCGCGCTGTCCTCCTCGAGGTCGCCGGGTTCTCCACCTTGTGCCGTTGTCTCCGGGCGGTGGGTGGCCAGCCTACCGCCCTTCACCTCGTTCACAGGACCTTGTGCTTCTGCTTCAGCGCCGCGAGCTTCGCCTCCGCGTCCGCGATCTCCTTGGCCGCCTCCGGGAGGAGCTCGGCGTCCATATCGCTGATCTCCTGGGCCTGGCTGCCTGTCTCTTCGGCGCTGCCCCTCGCACCGGCAGAGCACCCACGAACCATCGGAGCTGCTCGCCGAATCTTTGAAATATCCCCGGCCCAGAGCCTTGAGCGTCGGCACCGGCACGACCGGGTTCACCTCGGGGTCCTCGGCCAGCTGGGTGATCTCCTTGTTCGCCTTGGTGGCTGCCTTCTCGTCCTGCGCCTTGGCCCAGGAAGCGTACGCGGCGAGGTCCGGGCTGTGGTTCGGGTTGGCCGCCACCTCTCGCTGGGCCCAATCGCGGTAGCCTGGCGGGGTCTCCCGGTACATCCACCCCTTGAACTTCCCGAAAACCAGGACCTGGTTGTCGGCCGAGGTGGTCGAGCGGCGCAGCAGGGCGATCATGGCGCCCCGTGTAGGCTTCGTAGGCATTGTGAGGTTCTCCTTCTGGGCCCTCTCGATCAGCTCGCCCAGCGTGAGCTTGGAGATCCCCTTCATGTTGTCCTCGACCATGGGTGGGGCCCTTTCCTTCCGCTGCTCTTGCAGCATCGTCCGCAGCTCCGGCAAGAGCCACGATTCGTGGCAGGCCACCCCGTAGCCCCTCAGTTCCTCCAGGATGGAGGTTTTCTTCATCTTCCATACCGAGGGGAGCTCCGAGGCCATGTGACGCAGGTGGAGCCGTAACAGGAGCCTCGGGGCAAACTTCGCAAAGCGGCTGCGGCCGATCCACAATCCCCAAGTAGGGTCTTCACAAGGTTCAAGCCACTGATCGGTTCTGCGATTCTGCGCTTGACGACAGTCCCTTCGCACAAGCAAGGCAAGCAATCACTGCATCTAGTGGGCCCCAGCCGTTCGAGAAGAGCCTCTTTCAACCCGATGTTCTTGGTAGTCCACCGGGAAGGAACGAAAAGCCCAACACGAGGAACAACATGCACTCTGATCATCTCTGTCTTGGTCTCGACCCAGAAATCCCGGGACTGGTCTGCTTGTTTCCACCAAGCAAGAAACGCCTGGCCGCCTTGCTCCCAAGAGTCCTCAAGCATGACCCCCGCCTCGAGCGAAACCTTCTTGGGAAAGAAGAGGGTCTTCAGAGCACCCTCCCCGGCAGCAGCCTTGAAGCCAACCCCGGGCACCTCGCACACAGCCATGTATGCCTCCTTGGCGGGGATCCACACGAGTTGCTCGCCCACAGCCTTGCCGACGGGCGGCACAAAATCATAAAACTGTCCCACCTGAATGGCAGGGTGACCTGTAGAACTGCATTCTAGGGCCAGGCCTTCTATGTCAAGCTTTGTAAAAGAGGCCCGCTGGCCTGCAACATCAAAAATCAAGCCTAGTGCGCTCAAGGCCGGACGGCTCAGCAGCAAAGGGACACGGCAGGGTACCACCGCCACGCTCGTCTTGAAGAGCTTGCCTTGGACAGCGAACCAGGCCCGCACCGAAAAGCTCGAGCGGTGCGTGCGGGAGGCCGCGAACTTAAAGAAATCCTCCTCGTCGACCACCTCCGGGACGAAGCCCACCCGCTCAGCCAGCTCACAGTAGTGCTCGTACCAGTCGTGGCCCGCCACTGTCTTGGTGCACGCGGTGTCCAGTACGGCTAGCATGGGGGCCACCACACCCACACCAGCGCCGGCCTCTGCCATGTAAACGCAGTGGGTGCGCTTCTCGGAGTGCCGTTGGGTGGTCTCGCCGTCCGGGTCGCCATCGCCCGGGCCGTGCTCCGCTAAGTCCTCGTAGGTGTTCTCGCCGTCCGGGCTGCCGTGGTCCGGGCCGTGCTCCGCGTAGGCCTCGTACCCTGGGGATCGCAAGACCTTGTTAT